CACATGTGCCTATTTCAATTTAAACTAAATAAAAAATTAAAATTCAGGGCCACTCTTGAAGTGCTCAGTGGCCACGTGTGCCCGGTGGCTGCCATCCAGGGCAGCACGGAGGGGACACTGCCATCATCGCAGAGCAGGCTGGGGGCGCGCGCCGGTTGAGGGAGTGAGACACGGAGACTCAGTATTTGAAGCCAGGGAGCCGCCTGAAATTAAGGGAGAGGGCGAGGCGCAGCAGGGTGACAGAAAATTTTGGAAGAAACGCAGTAACAACCAGAAGAAATAAAGAATATGTATTTTTTTGCCTTTCAAATGGGCTATTGGGGATTGAGCGGAATGGGGCAGGGTGGGTGCAAGGGACTGAATGGTGTCCTAAAATTCCTGTGTCGAAGCCCTAACCCTCTGTGGAGCTGCATCCGGAGATGCTCCCTCCCCGTTTCTGTCTCTGCCTTTCTGTGCCTGGGTCTTCCCACCTCTGGGTCCCACCCTCCCTCCACTCACCTGCCCTCCACTCACCCTACTCATTGGCTGGAGCAGTCTGGGGGGCGTGGCCTCTGCGCCAACAAGGTGGTGGATTTCAGGTCGCTGCGGCTGAGGCCTGGGGCGGCTGACCCTCCCTGAAACAGACGGTGGAGAGAGAGGCACCTGCTGCGGTTGCCCACGCACCTGCCAACCAGGCGGGGTGCCTGGGAGAACTGGGGAGGGCTGGTGTGGGAGATTTCAGGGCTGGGCTTCCGGTAGTTCCAGCCCTCCGCCTACTGGCCACACGGCAGAATTGCACCCCCACGGCCTTGAAGTTAGGAGGGCCCTGTGACCCTTCAGCCGATGGCGGAAGTGAAGTCCTGGCTTTTGGGAAGAAGCATTTCAGAGCTAGTAGGCTTTTGTCCACCTTGCCTACCACTGCCAGGTGTTCCAGAGTTGCAGCCTCAGTCAGCTTGGGTCCCCCAGGGACTATGATTGCTGAACCCCCTGCTGATCTGTGCATGAGCTCCTGAGATTTGAGAGTTTGTGTTTCTGCAGCAACCTTGCCCATCCTTACTAATACAATTGATAGGTTCCAAATCTTGAAAAAAATTTTGTAGTATTGATAAGAGAATCCTCACCAGGCTCACAACATGGGAAATGCTGTGGAGAGAAAAAGTAGCTTATCTTCCCCTGGATGGAAATAACTGCAAATATTATTTGTAAATATCCCACGCAAGTGTTTCTAGGGATATTATTTAATGGTTGTGTTTCATCTCTGGGTAGAAGCTTGTTTATAGGTAAAGAAGGACGATCTTGTGATTGATTGTCAGAAAAATGACGTCTAAGACACTTGCCAAAGATTTTATTGCTAGGTGAGAAACTCCCTGTTAGTAACAATCGTGGTGCACACATTCCAGGACAGATCCCAAAGTATGTCGGTAAAGTCCTGCAGTGTCACCAGGGCCTTCTCTTACCACATCCCTGGGATCAGCTGAAAGAGTAGGGAGTTGAATGGTGGTCCCCCAAAATATACATCCACATCCTAAGCCCCCTGAAACCTGAGAATATGACCATATTTGGAAAAAGAGGCTTTTCAGATGTAATGCTTAATAATGGGAGAGGGTTTCCTTTTGAGATGATGGAATTGTTTGGAACTACAAAGAGGTGATAGTTGTACAACACTGTGAGTGTATTAAATATGACAATTGTTCATTTTAAAATGGTTATTTTTATATGAATTTCACCTCTATTATATATTAATATTAAAGACTATAAATATACACATCCAAAGGAGGTGCTTTGCAAAGATGTAGAGCAACCAGAACTCTTATCCCTTGCTGGTGGGAGCGTAAAATACTGTAACCTATTTGAAAGACAGTTTGGCAGTTTCTTATAAAACTAAGCATTCACCTGCCCCAACCTTGCAGTCTGACTCCTAGGTTTTACCCAAGATAAAGAGCCCTGCAAGCCTATGTTTAAGGCAGCTTCATTCATAAGAGCCCCCTTGTGGAAACGGCGGTGGTCCCCACCCACAGCAGTGGAAAGAAGGCACTGCTGATTCAAGAACCAGTGTGAACACGAGCGTAATCTAAGAGGGAAAAAAATCACAAGAATAGCTGCCCAGGAGGGTGAGGGCAGGGATGACCAGGAAGTGGTTCAGGGGAACTTTCTGTTCTCTGTATTGATAGAGGCTTAGGGTACACAAATGACGCATTTCTCAAAACTCTGAGTGCACATGCAAGATCTCTACATTTCCTAGCATGGAAATTCCACCTTAAAAGAAAAAAGGAATGTAAATGACTATTAACTCTGGTTAATGGCACACATGCTGAATGATTCAGGGGATGTGTTCTGATGTCTGGAACTTATTTTGAACTGAGCCCAAAAGGATGATGGGCGGATGGGTAGAGGGATGGGCAGATGCTAAAGGCACAATAAAGTACAGTGGAATGCTCACACTAGAATCTTGGTCAAGCACTCAGAGGACACTCGGCATGGGCTGCCAGTCTGAACGGCCAGGAATCTTCGACAGCAGAGAGCTCTCAGCAGAGCTGCTGACCTCACTCACCAACTGATGCCTGGCGGCCATGGCTGTCTTGTCTCAGTCCCCATTTCTTCCTCCAACAGGGATGCTTTTCAGGGCTCCATGCATTTCCTGGGTGATGTTACCTGTTCCTGCAGTTTTAAAGACCAGCTCTACGTGGGGCCATCCCCCTGCAGCCAGGTCCAAAGCCATTCTTAGACCACGTCCTCTTCCCATGGGAAGGGAACTACCCTCCACTGGGCCGCCTCAGACATCCTCTCTGACCCCTCACCTCTGTCACCCGCCACACCTGACTCCGGTACCACCACCTGTCTACTCCCTAAGTCTCAAACCGTCTGACCCCCAGCCCCTCTGCTCCTCTCGAGCTCTGTCATCCCACCAGGCTCCCCAAACCCCCATCTTGTCCTAGCCAATCCATCTCCTACACCCCCTCCAGAGGAAAGCTGCTAGACTCCAGTCTGGTGACTTAGTCACTACCCTCTTTGAATACAAAATTTCGAAGATATTCCCTGCCTGTGTCTGTTACACAGCCTTCGAGGCTCACCAGGACCCAACAGCCTCCCCAGCTACAGGGACTGGCTTCGTCCCAGCCAGGGGGCAGCTCTGCTGGAGCTGGGTGCCCTCCACAGGACCTAGGGCAGGTTGGTGAATCCCCCCCACCTGAATGACGGCTGGACTGGCCACTGGCCACTGTGCCTTCTGCATCCCTGGTCGAGCCCCATGGGTATTTATCTGCTCACCCTCCGAGCAGCCTCGTGCTTGGCCTCAGGACACTAGATCTCTGATTAGTCTGAGAACATGAGACTTCTATTCATTCCCCTCTTGCTAGGGACCAATGCAGGGAAGGGAACACAATCTAATCCTGGCCAATAAGACCTGAAAGTTAGTCTGCCGAAGGGTTTCTCCAAAGTGTTTTTGCTCAGATACAGAATTCCTTTCCTGCTTCTGCATTTGGCTGGGGAAGGAGATGAAGGCTGGAAGATGCTCTAGCCGTCTTGTAATTCCAATGTATGCTTCCGGGATGCCAAGCACAGCATTGAAAGATGGTCTGAACCTGGCTGGGTGAAATGGAAGTTCACTCTGAGTTTACCAATCCCGGAACTGCCTTTTTGACATCCTTACGTGAGATAGACTCCTGGCTGTTTAAACCAGCCGAGTTGGAGTTTCCAGTTACAAATGACAGCATCCTTACTCAACTGCAAGAATTAGAAGAAATTCAAAGATTGCATTCTGAATTTCTGACATCAACCTAGAGCTTACCTGCTTGGACCAGCCACCAGTGTGAGGGCAATGAGAACTGTTTCCTGAGAAGTATTTCGGGATCCCAATTAAAGGGCAGATCCCAAAAATGTCCATGTCTTAATCCTCAGAATCCGTTAATGTGTAACTCATTTGCATAAGTGATTAAGCGTCTTGAAATGGGAGATTATGCTCCATTTCCCAGTCTAATCATGTGGGTCTTTAAAAGCAGGGACCCTTTCCCAGCCATGATCAGAGATGTGGTAATGGAGGAAAGATCAGAGACATGTGATGTTGCTGGCGTTGGAGAGGCAGGTCATCAGCCGAGGAGGCAGGTGGCCTCTAGATGTTGCAAACAGGAAGTTCCTGTTCTTTGAGAAAGGAATGCAAGCAACCCTGGCAACAGTTTGACTTTAGCTCAGTGAGACCCATAACACACACTTGTAAGAGAATTTGTGATTTAAACCACTGCTAATATAATTCATACAACAGCCATGAAAAACTCATAGAAGCCCCTTGAACACAGAAACCAAAGTCCAAAGGTGACATGGCTAAGTCATGCTCACGTTTCACACCCTTGCTGAGTGTGGACTCCTCAGCAAAGACTCCCCTCTTAAACAGTGGGTGGCATCTGCCTCCGTTTGGGCTGCTGGGAACACCACAGCTCTGAGGCTGTAGTCGGAGACCCAGGCACAGCACAGTCTGGGGACGCCCGCTTTCTGGCCGATGGCCATCTTCTCGCTGTGCCCACAGATGGGAAGGGCAAGGGAGCTCTGGGGTCTCTTGCAAGGACACTAGTTCCATTCATGAGGGCTCCATCCTCCTGACCTGATCACCTCCCAGAGCCACTAGGAAAATGGGTTTCAACATATGAGTTTTTCAGGGACACACCCACTCAGTCTATTGGAATTGAAGATCCCATTTCTTCTCATCCCTAGAAGCCAGCCCAGCTGGCCTGTCCGTTCCATCAGTAGTCTCTTCTGTTACACTAGCAGGGCAGGTCACGCCTGTGCAGGGTATCTAAGGCCGACACTGGCCCCAGGGGAGCTCAGGAGCCACGGGGTACAGGTGCCAGCTGCTGAGAAGAAGCCCGAGCTGTTTGGAGGCACCATTCCCAGGTGCTGGGCATGTCACCTCAGGCTGGCCCAGGGAACATGCGGGCACCCCCGCCTCCCCACCCAAGGCCGCTGCCTCCCCTGCTCCCTGTCATTCCGGGCACCAGGGATGGGGGAGCATAAGGAACAAGACCCTCGGGGCTTTTTAAAATAACTGCATCCTTTAATGGCAGTAATACAATTACTGGATTAAGAGACCACAGGAGAGAGGGCAGGTGACATTTCTGGAAGACAGATATGGAATACAAAAAGGGGGGTGAGAGAGGGTCATGCGACGATCATTGTAAAAATACAGTACGTTATATACATATTTGCACCATCAACTTTCAACTCTGAAACAGTATTTACACTTTTGTTACAATCCTGGTTAGAGAACAATTTTTTTTTAAAAGCTCGGCCTGATGGCAAGTGAGTATTTTGGGTGAATTCATAGTCTTAAGAGGTTCTTAGGCTGATGTTCCAAGAGGAGGGTTCCAGCTTCTAATTCATCCACAGATTTCAGTTTAAAAAAGTATTTAATTTTGCTTTTACAAAAAAAATTCTCAAAGAAAAAAAAAACCCCACAGCCACACTGTGTATTCCTAGTTTATAAAGACCAAAGGCTGCAGCCCTCTGCTTCAAGGCCAGCACTGGTGGCTAAAGAAAAATCTCAGTAATGATTAAAAAAAAAAAAATGAAACAAAAAAGACACAGACAAGCCAAACCGACCTGGCCACGCGCACTGACCCTGGGGGGCTGGCCTCTCCCACCATTGCTTCTGGCCCCAAACTCAACTTTTATTTTTTTTTCCGGGGGAGAAGGGTTTGGTATAGGAGCCTTGTTTACCTTCACCCCAAGGAGGTGGAAGAGGGAACTTTTGGCCAGGTTTCCTCACTAGCAAGGAAGAGACAGGGGCCAGAAGCAAGGTGACTGAGGTGGTGGAACCAGGAGAAAATGGCCGGGGAGTTGACACGGGTAGGAAAGAGCCCTAAGTCACAGGCCACGTCCACAGGGGAGCCTCCTCTGGACAGGCTGGACCTCAGCCCAGGTCTCTTCTGTTACACTAGCACGGCAGGTCACGCCTGTGCAGGTCACCACAGTATCTAAGGCCGAGACTGGCCCCAGGCGAGCTCAGGAGCCACAGGGTACAGGTGCCAGCTGCTGAGGAAAAGCCCGAGCTGTCTGGAGGCACCATTCCCAGGTGCTGGGCATGTCACCTCGGGCTGGCACAGGGAACACGCGGGCACCCGCCTCCCCTGCTCCCTGTCATTCCTGGCACCTGGGGGCAGCCTGGAGCAGACGCCTCCTCTCCCTTCTCGGCTCACCCAGATGAGGGGAGCAGGATGAGGGTGCCGGTTCCACATCCCCACCCTCAGCAGGGCTTCCAGCCCACCACCTGGGGAGGCCTAACGGCCCCCTACCCAGCCCTGGCTCGTCTCCTGCTCTTTCCTCAGGCCTTTCTGGACGTGTCTACAGATCCAACACTGGAATACACCTCTGCACTTGGGCCCCGTCAAACACCCAAACCAGGGGCCCTAAAGTTACGTGCAAGGAGGGGAGAAGCAAGCAGAGAGCAGGAACACCTCGCCGGGACCACCCAGAGCTCCACGTGCCAGGGGCCTGTGGAGCGGCCGCGGCAGATCCTGGGGCTGTCCCGAGGGGCTGGGGCGGCAGTGGGCACTCTGGTTCTGAGGCCCAGGACAGACCCCAGAGTGAGGGGAGGGCATGACCGCGTCAGGACAGGACAAGAGCTAATACTGACAAAAAACATGCAGTGCGCAGGCTGCCTCCTGGAGGCATGGCCCCCCATGCCAGCCCCGCCGCCTCCAGGTCCGTCTCTCACCCTCGAGTCTCTGACAAGTGCTGGAGGAGGCAGGTCTGTGGATGTACGCTGGATGGAGGCCGGCCGGGAGGCCTGTGTGGGAATCCACACACGACAGCAGTGGGAAAGGCTCTGCTTCTTCCAGCTCAGGCAGCTCCCAAGGGCTCTTTGCCTTTTTCTTCCTTTGACACTGTTTTACCGGCTGCTAAAGCAAGTCATTGTGGCTGGCTCACCGAGAGGACCCAGGGCCCTAGACATGCCTGGACCAGCTTCCGGGCAGATCCTGCCCACCGTCTCGGCTCCATCCTTCTTCAAGCAACATGGGTGAGCAGCTCAATGCCCTCAGGTGCCTACCAGTCCCTTTGTCCTGGGGGCAGGGGAGGAGAGGCCAGCTTTGCCCACAAAACCCAACGGACCCACGGACTTTAGGGAGTCCCTGAAGACTGGCCCAGTCAAGTGGAGTGCCAGCTGGGGCTGAAGCCCAGGGCCTCACACAACTGCTCACGTGCACAAGCAGGTTTTTGGTGGAGGGTGGGGAAGCCTGGGAGCCCCATAGCACTGACCAGAACTGAAGATGGTTATATACAATTTATGTTCCAAAGAAAGTACTACTTAAAAAAAAGAGGGAGGAGGAAAAGAAAGAACACCCAGAACCCCTTCCCCCTCTTCTGCAGTTCCCAACTCTGGTTGCTGCCCTTATGTATCACCCTGGGAAGGGAGGGGGGCAGGGAGCCCTCGACTCTGGCTTAACACTACTGGCAGAAGGGGGAGGCTGTGGGGTCAAAGCCTTTAAAAACATCTTTCAGGGACCCTGCGTCCTGGTCGCCCTCGCGGGCTGGGCTGTTGCCAGCAAACGGGCTTCCTGAGCCTGTCTTGGGTGCCTGTTTCACAGTCCCAAAGAGTGTGGGCACAGGCAGGTTGTGCACGCCAGGCTGAGGTGGGGCACCCTCTGGTGGCGGAGTGCCCGTGGCCGGGGCAGGGGCCGCCGCAGCCTTGGGCCGGGGCCGGTTGTAACTGTTGTATCTGTCTGTGGCTGTAGCTGTGCCCCCATCTGCACTGGATTTCCCAGAGTCAGGCTGTTCCAGGGCCGACTTGCGGACAAACGGGGGTTCCTTGGCCTTGGTGGCTGAGCTCTTGCCATTGCCCTCGGGGCCCTTGGGCTGGGTGCCCGAGTCAGCAGCTGGCTCTGTAGGTTTGCCACCTGCATTGGGAGTCCTGGGGTCATAGAGGCTAATGCCACTCAGCACACTGCTCTGCCCACTCCCGCTACCCTGGCCCAGCCCACCAGCAGCCAGCACTCGGGGATCATAGGGGGCAGTGGCTGGCGGGGAGGACTCCCCACTGGGGCTGGTGGCTGGAGAGGGCGCGTCGGTGGGGCCAGGCTTGGGGGCCCGGGAGGAAGCAACAGAGTCTGCTGGTTTCTGCAGCCGAGGGTCGGTGGGTGCCTTCCGCACCCGGGGATCACTGGGCTTGTCGCTGGGGGCTGCTGAGGAGCCAGTGGCATTGACAGTCTTGAGGATGCGTGAGAGGAGCTCGAAGTCAGGCAGGTTGGAGCCAGATGTGCCAGGGTCTGCGGAAGCGCCCGGCCGCTGCCGGGAGTTGGCAGGCCCCGCGGTGGTAGCCCGGTGCAGCCTGGGATCCAGGGCAGGCATGGACTGCAGGGCTGCAGGAACAGGGGGCACGGCGTCCTGCTTGGGGATGGGCAGGGGGATCAAGTCCTCAGGGTTCCAGAGCACAGTGCGGGCAAAGCTTGGCTTGCTCAGGGTCACGTCCTTCTTGATGTGGCTGAACTGCTGCAGCTGTGACCGTGGGTCCCGCAGCGGGTGCCCCGGGAGGGGATCCAGGGGAATGTTCATGGCCTTCTCCCGCAGGGCCCGCTCCCCTTCTTCCTCCTCTGCAGGGGGTGGTCCAGCCCCCTTGGGGACACTGGGGCCCACAGGGCTGGAATGAAGGCTGCCTTCGGGCTTTGGGGTGGGCAAGGAGCGAGCCAGCCGAGGGTCGGAGGGCCCCACATCACCTGGGCCTGACCCACCAGAAGCCTCAGCGTGACGGGTAAGTCTGGGGTCCCGGCTGAGGCGGGGGTCAGCTAGCCGGCCTCCTGTGGGGTGTCCTTTCTGGAGGCGGGGGTCCCCCAGCCCACTGCTGCTCAGTTCCCCGATGGAAGCCTGGGGTCGGCTAGATGTCTGCTGCCTCAGGGTCTTAAGGATAGAGGTGACGCTGCTCCCACCCTCATCCTCATCACTTGAGTACCAGTTTCCGGTGTCACCTGAGAAAGAGCAGAGAGGAACAGGGACAGGTGAGTGGCCACCACATCTGCCACCAGCCCTCTAGGACCCCATGGCGCCCGCTGGGTGAATGGCTCCACTGCCCCTCACCTCTCAAAACCAGTTTCTCCTCTTAAGAACTGGCTCCTCCCACCTGCCCTGTAGGCTTCCGTGATAGCCAGAGGGCTCAGGCGGGCGGAGCGCCAAGCCTGGCAGGCGGACGGCCAACACCTCTGGGCCTTTCCCTGTGTGCCAATGCCACTTTGTCTTACTGCTTCTCACAACCACCCAGGAGGCAGTGTTGTCACTGTGCCCATGTAACAGATGGAAAAAGCAGAGGCAGGGACAGTACCATGAGACGGGACAGAGCCGGGAGTAAGCTCACACTTTGCCAGCCCAGGGCTCTGCCGCCACCACCTCGCCCGCAGGTTCAGGCCCCAGCGAGGCGGCTGCGGCTCTGGGCACCTGTGGGCAGCCACCACTGACTCAGCCTGCACTATGCTTGGGGCACAGACTCCTGCCCCTGGACCAGCATCATTACCACGACCCCGAAGGGCAGTCACCCAGCTGCTCAGCGGCGGGGCCAGGTGGACAGATTCGAAAAGTGGCCCAAGTCCAACCCTCTAGGCAGGTGAAACAAGCCACCGGGGAGGGGGCTGCCCCTGTTCCCACTGTTCCCACTCGCTCCGGGCTCCTGGCAGGGCCACCCATGGCCTCTGGCTTCAGATTCTAGACCCCAACTGTCCACCCTGTTTCACCCTGGGGCAGATACCACCAGGCCCACTGCCCAGCACCATGCAAGCTGATGGCCGTCTGTGACTCTCTTTACTACTGGTTTATGTCAATGAGTAGCTCTTGCACAGGCTTTTCCCCAGGTGAGCCCCTCCTCTGTAAGGGCACAGGGGGTAAATCCTGCCAGCCACTGTCTCCCGCAGCGGCCAGCCCACCTCCCTCCTTGGTGGGATTAAGGGCCTCTCCTAACCGGAGACACAGAAGGGCAGTTCTGACTTCTGGTTTTCTTGGGACACGCAGGGGCCCTGCCCGGCTCGTGGCCCCAGGCAGGGGTACTCCCTGGTGAGAAGCCCAACCTAGGCGTTCCCCGCTCCCCTGCACAGCGGCCCGGGGGGCCGTGCCCGCGAGGGGGAGCCCCTGCCCCTGGGGAGGACACGTGCCTTCCTCATTCTCCCGGTCCTGCTTGCTGCTCTCAGCCAGCCTCCTCGCTCTCTCCTCCTCCTCCTGCTGCTTCTGCTGGATCCTCAGGTACAGGGCCCTCTGGGCTGAGGGCAGGAAGTCGGGGACACCGGCGCCCGGCTTCGGCCGGCCTGGGGGCCCTCCCTCAGAGAAGTCGGGCTCCAGAGGGTGCTCGGGGAAGAGGCGCTCCCCAGGCTCCCCCAGCAGCTCTTCGTAGTGCCCGTAGTCCTCTGTGGCGGGGAAGAACCGAGGGTTCATGGCGGGAAGGGCCTCGTGGTGCCACCTCCACCCCCGTGCCCTGACTGGAGAGCCCCCCCACGGCGATGGGTGAGATGTGTCCCCGTCCCTTCCTACCCAACCCAGGAGCCCCTGAGCAGGGAATGGAGCAGCCGACGGCAGTGTTCCCGCCAAGGAAGCAGCCGCCAAGAATGGGACTCCCAGAAATTGAGTGGAGTGGGCAATGCTCATGAGGTGGAAACAGGACGGAACGTCGACGGATGTTTATAAAACGCAAAGAAAAGGCTTTGGAAAGACAGACAGAAAACAGTCCCTCTGGAATGAGATTCAGAAGAGAAGGGTCGAGGGGTCTTTCATTTTTTCCTCCACAAGCTTCTCATATGTTTTATTTGTGATGAACATTAATTTTATGTTTCTTTGTAACAATCAGCAAAGAAAAACTGTTTTCTCATAGTGAGCTCTTAATACCAGTTAAACCCCAGTCACAGACTAATACAGAGAAGGAAACACACCAAGGTGTTGCTATGGCCACCTGTCACCCAGGGTCACTGGTGATTCCAACCCCTCCTTCCTTTACGGGTCCCTGAACTGCACCAATGTCTATGTGGTTTCATGAAAAAGGACAGGGTGCTCCCTGCACAGCCTCTGGGAGCCAAGGCTGAAGGGTCCACCTTCATTTCCCAAGGGCAGGCAGGCCACATCCCTCCACTAACTCTACCCACACAGGAGCCAAGGGCAGGGGGGCGGCAGCTGCACGGGCAGATGTGGGACATGCGCCTGGAGCCTGGGTGTGTGCACGCGTGTGCCTCGGAGACAGCCTGCCTGCTGCTGCCCCACAGAAAGCCCCGCAAGATGAAATGGGCCATATCTGCTTTGTGCAATATGGCTGCCACTGTCCTCCTGGGACTTACTGAGCATTTGGGAAGTGGCCAGGACTACCGAGAAAGTGAACCTGTAATTGAATTTAAACTCACAGGCTTACAACAATTAAATTTGTAACTATTTCATATACAAAGCATCTAAATCAAGAAGTGAGATGTCAGTCACCTTCTCTGCCCCCTGAACTTCCTAACGTGTGAACTCGGGGAGCACCTGCTCTATGCTGCACATGGCTGGGGACTCTCAGGGAACAGTCCCCGTCCACCTGCAAAGGCAGTGTCACGATGCCTGTGCTACTGTGAATATACCACAAGCCACTGCACAGTACCCTTTGAAAGGGTGCATTTCATGATACAGGAATTAGAGTAAATTACTCTAGAGACACCTACTGTTAACAGCCCACAGACTTAGCTTTCTTCCCTGCCCGGCCCTGTTTCCACGCACATCTCCCATCCACCCTGTTCAAAGGGAAGAGGCCCACGGGAACACAGCACCCGTATGGGACTGCTTTGCTCCTCGGAATACCTCACTCTCCTTCTAAAGCCCCTGCCCCTCACCCTAAACAGCCGCTCTTGGGGCTTTGAAAACCATCTAGACGTCAGACACTCACACCGACCCTGACTGTCTCCCAGACGCCCCTCATGCCTTCTGCATGGCTAATGGCGAGCTCGTCTCACGCTCCACAGGGCCAACACACAGCAGCACTTGCCACCCCCTTGGGCACCCTGCAGTAGCACCTCCTAGCATCAGGGGTGAGGGCATACACCAAGGAACTCCCCCCCACAGCCAATAACCCCATTGGCTCTGGGCCATCTTGTGACGCAGGTATGGGATAGCAATGGCCCTGAAGGTCATCTCCCAGCCCTGCTCCCCTCCACCAGGCTCCAGAGGCCCCTGGAGCTGCCCAGACTCCACTTGGGCCCTGACCAGCCAACCTCCTCACATTCCCCCGCTTACACCCATCATTCCCCCAACGAGGCCACCTCCTGGCGGCCACCAGAGTCCTGCGCACTGGGACTTCTGTCCCTCATCCTCCCTTCCCAAACTACATGGCCACCGCTGCTTTCCTCAGATGAGCTGCCGGGCTGGGGCCTGGGCACCTGCTGCGCCTTCGGCCTCTCATCTACACCCTGCCTCACACTCACTTCTCAGAGAGGCCTCTGCTGACGTCCCCACTGTGGCAGGTGCTCCCATGCTGCCACTGCCCATCACTCTCCATAGCCCCTGCTTTACTTCTGCCGATGGTCGATGCTGAAATGAGCTTATGCGCTTATTTACATGTCTCCTGTCTGTCTCCCTCTGCTAAAATGCAGCCGAGGCAAGGACTGACCGCATCATGCTCCGGCCCCGGACCTGGCCCCTTGCCCTGCACCTCGCAGTGGTGGGCATGCCTCATCCTTTCTGAAATTTGCACACGACCTCCTATGGCGGCAGTGGCATCCGACCATCCAACTGGTGGACTTCTAGGCTGTTACCAACACATGTTCTTGTTTCAGTAAGAAAGGAAGGAAAGAAGAAAGGCAGCTGGTCAGTCGAGGGGCCAGCAAATGCAGAGCAGCAGGGCTGACGCTGGCAGCTCCAAGCCAAGAGCCATCTAGGCTGCGCCGGCGAGGGCACCTCAGCCGCACAGTGTACACCACTCCACACCTAACTTCCCACACTCCCAATGCAGGCACACCAAGCAAGATGTGTAAGAAATTAAATAAATTAGAGTGACAATTACCCTTTCAGCCTCAATGGGTAGTGAATACCACATCACTGAAAACACTCAAGCACTGACAGGACAGACAAGAGTTGGAGTCAAGCTTTCTAAGACCCAGACCAAGGGGAAAAAATCAAGTTTTTCCCATTGCATTCCACCGGGCAAAGCCCTGCACCCCACCAGCCCCACCCTGAGCCCTGCATACCTGCGTCCCCAACGAGTCCTGGCTCCATCTCCATGCCCTCCTGCTGCTGGTAGAAGTTTTCATAGAAGTTTTGGGATGGTGGGATGGGGGGCATCATTCCAGAATGTGGGGAGTCTCCAGGACCATAGGGCATCATCTGGGGGCCACCGGGTCCCATGGGTGGGCCAGGGTTCATGCCAGGACCCATTGGCATGTCTGGGTGCATGTCCGGGTGCATGTCGGGGTGCATGTCCGGGTGCATATCCGGATGCATGTCAGGGTGCATTGGGCCCCCCATAGGCCCTGGGGGGCCCATGTTGGGTCCAGGGCCCATTGGCCCTGGGGGTCCTCCGGGTCCAGGGAACCTAGGAGGAGAAAATGATGCCTGTGAGAAGGGCAGTAGAGGATGGGTGGTAGCCACACCCCTGGGGAGATATAGAAGCCTCCATATGGTCAAGCAGTGGAGGGCTACAGACCAGGACTCTGACAGCTTTGGGGGAGGCAGGACGCTGTCCTGGCCAGGCTCTCAGTGACACGCCCCCAGCATGAACAGCCTGGCAGAGCCCAGAACAGCCCCATGGCTGACTCTGGGGCCCAGGACACTCACCTCACACCCAGCTTCTCTGCCAGCTGCCCTGTGGGCCGCACCACAATTTCAAACAAAGAGGGGATCTTCTTGTTATACATGTCCTGCTGCTGTGGGGACAGTGGCTCGTGCACTGGCATGGGCATCTGAGGGGGCCCAGGGGGCGGTGGCGGGGGCGGTGGCGGTGGGGGGCCGCCCTGCATAGGCCTGCCGTTTGGAGAGGTCGGGGCTGGGGGGCCAGGGGGGCGAGGGGGAGTGGGCAGGAGGCCCACGCCAGGAGGTGGCTTGGGCAGGGGGTTGATGCCCTGCTTCTTCAGTTCCTCAACTTCCTTCTCATCCTCGGCACCAGCCTCTGCATCGTCAGCCAACATCTGCAGGTGAGAACAAAAGAACAGGACAGTCAGGACAGAGAGCAGGCAGGTCGGGAGGGAGCTGAATTTTCTGAGGAAAACTCTAAAACACAGACCCTGAGGCCCTCCCAGTAAAAAGCCAAAGACCATGAAGCTTCTTTAGCACAAAAACCATCACAAAACACCTCTGCTGCCTCCACTCTCTGTGACCCACTGGCAGGCACAGCCATTCCTGTTTTATGGCAAAATACACATTAACACAGAATGTACTACTTTGCCCTCTTCAAGTATATGATTCAGTGGCATGAAATACACTAAGTAGTACATTCACAATGTATACAACCACTATCTCCATCTACTGCTAGAATGTTCCCATCACCCGAAAGGGAGATCCCACACCCACTAAACGGCCACCTCCCCTTGTGCAGCAACCATTCATTGGCTCCTGTCTCTGCAGGTTCCCTATTTCAGGTGGTCCATGTGAACAGCATCACACACCCCATGGCCTCTTGTGAAGGGCCCTTCACTTGGCATCAGGCTTTCAAGGCTCACGCACGCCATAGTGCAGCAGGTACCATCTATTTTACGGATGACTAATATTCCACTGTCCTGTTCAGATTTTAAGGAGCTCTCATTTCACTTGTAATCAAACCCAACTCCTCACCGTGAGCCACAGGGCCTATCAGCAGGGCCGAGTGTCTGTGAGGGACTGCGCAGCATCCACCACCCTCATTTCCTTCCACGGGGCTCTGGCCTCAACCCTAAGTCCCCAGCCCCCAGCTTGACTTGTGCACAGTCAAGCTCTCTCCCCCAAGGGGCCCTGACCTGGACCAAGCTTCTCCCCGGTATGTTTTTCCCTCCATTCCTAACTGTGTGGTTCCATGTCCCCCAGTTGCTGGGTTCTCTTATGTAAGACCAGCTCACAGTGACTGTCCTGGTCTCCCGTATTCACTACTGCAACACCATGAGCTCCTTTCAAAGCACTGCCCCAGCTTTGTAAGGTTACATGAGCTTAGTCGTCTGCCTGGTTACTCCTGGCTCACCACACAACTGTCAGCTCTGCGAGAACAGGACTCTTTCCTGCCCCAATGTATCCCCAGGGCCCAGCAGGGGACCTCAGTGTCAAAAATGGATTTGAGCAGAATGTCTCACCAACTAGCAGCCGTGGAGGAAAGTTAGAACAGCAAGCTTGACTGCTTTTCTTGGAGGGTCTTCTTGCAAGACTGACCTTTGGCTAGTGTCTGGGAACCTGAATTTCAGAGGACTCCCAGCATTCCCTGACTGGGAAGAAGGGCTTGCTGTGCCTCAGCTGCTTGTACAGCAGTAGGCTTCTGCTGAACACCCCATTTCCTTCTGGGAATAATATGCCATGTCAGGCAGAGGCTGCCTACATGACTAACCCCCACAAAAACCCCAGGCACTGACTGAGACCCTAACGTGCATCCCCAGTAGACAATCTTTAATGTGTGTTACAACTTGAGGAGTTGAACATGTCCCATGTGACTCCATGGGGCACAGATTCTTGGAAGCTGGCACTCATTTCTCCCCAGCCTCTGTTCCCACTCCGTTCATTTCCCCTTTGCTGATTCTGCTCTGTGTCCTTTCACTGTAGTATAATCTTGGCCATGGGTACAACTACACATTTGGTCCTGGGAGGCCTCTTACCAAATCGTCAAACCCAGATCCAGCTCATCTTGGGGACCTGGGCACAGATGCCTCGGCGGATCCTAACATGGGGCTCTGAGATGCCCCCTCCCTGGTGCCTCAGCCCCAGTGCCGCTCAGGCGAAGCCCTGCCCCTCCACCAAGGAACGGCAGCGGGCGGAGGCAGAGCCTCCTGGTGGGTGTCTGACAGTTCTGGTTCCTCTCTCTCCTTCTGATCCGTTAGCAGTACCTGGACCAGGGTTGGCAGGGTCCAAGAAGGATGTGGCTTGGAGGGGGATGGAAAACTTGAAAAACTTGTCAGTGGAAAACATTTGTCCCTCAGAGCCCTGCTTTTTTATTCATGGTGCACAGCAGCACAGGCGACACACACACAGAACCACATTCTAACCTGTGCCCTTGCAGTGTGGGAATCTGCCATGCCCAGCCAGGCTGGGGAGTGCCCAGAGCCTCCTGGTGACTCTCAGTACTGCTCTCAGTGCGGGTGAGGGAGGGGCAGGCTGCAGCTGCAGCTGGCAGCCCCGTCTGCTCCACTGCGCCCACCAGCCAGCCCCTTTCGGCGACTCATCCACACATTCCTCAACCATGCACGCAGCTGGTGCTTGCGCTGTGCCCCTGCCCTAGCACATGCTTCCCTCACTCTTTTTTCCTGCCAGCCACTCACCTAGGGACCTGCGAGGTATCACCTCATCACCATGCCTCCCCTGAATGCCAGCCTATTGGAGAGCCTCACGGCTCCCTGGAGGTCCTTTCTGTTGCCCCCCAAGCCTGGTGTGTGAGCGGAATCTGTTCCACAACTGGATCTTGTCTCATTACTGCAACCTCAGTGCCTGGGGCAGTGCCTGGCATGTCCAACCCCAGTACCCATATTCGCTGGGTACGTGAGCAAGGGAAACAAACACATCTCGTCTCCCTCTGCACTCCCTGGACCCTGGAGACTATCGTGCACCATCAGGAAAGCAGAAGGTCCGGAGGCGAGGGGTACACGGGGTGGGGTGTAAAGGAGTGAAGGCTTTGACTGGCTGACCGAGCTCCCCTCTTTAGGGGTCTCCCTGGCCTCCCCTCCTGGCCACGAAGCCTTGCCCACCCCCACACTTCTAGTTTTGGCAGCTCTGGGCTGGGGCTCCCACACTCCTCTCTGCCAGAGCGGCAGAGACCATCTCCACCTGCTCACGCCTCGCTCCATGTGCCTTCTCCTCCGAGGGCACAGCTCTGCTCGGGGAATGACAGACCCTCTGCCTCTCCACCCCAGCTGGGATGTGGGACCGTACTCCCCAGTCCTCCCTTTAATCCCCACACACAGACACTGGCCCAGAGCTGCTGCCCAGCCCTCCTAGGTGGCCCCCAATCCCTGCTCGCCTCCACCCTCTGGCCTGGGCCCTGGCCTGTCTAGTCTCCCTTGCATTCTCTGAATACCAGCAGAGCAACCTTCACTTTTTTTATTATTTACTACTTATTGAAATAATATTCTGGACATTTCTGAAAATTTCATGTTTCTTTTTACTATTTAAAATTTGGCTATTAGAAAATCAAAATTAAATATTTCATTGTTGTACACCTGAAGCCAATATAATACTGTTTATCAACTACATTTCATCTAAAAAGACAAACAAGTAAATAGAACACGCAGGGGTCATGTTCCTATTGGACAGCACTGCTCCAGAGTGTAAACTCTGGACCTCCAGCAGGGGGCAGTCCTCAGTCAATTACTGTTTAGTTCATCAAATGAGAAATGAAGCCTCCATTACTTTTCCCACTACTTATCCTGAGAGTTAACTAACAAATTTTATGTATCTACTCTTACAAAACCCTATTCCTAGGGCAACAGGCTCCCCAAAGGGCCCAGCAAGACGAGAGTTTTCCCCAGCTTCTTCCACTCCTCTTCCAGTGAGTGGACTTCCCTTGCTGTGCGCGCGCGCAGCTCCCCTACTGCTCCAGGCAGCCCCGTTCAACCGCGCAGTCACTGACAGACAGACTAGCAGGTATACTGACCGACTCGATCCTTTCCATTCTCAAACAACAGCTCATCTCAAGCCTGCAAACCAGTAGGCAGGAAAGCCTTCATCAATTCCCTGGGTGTCCATTAGGAAGACCAAAGACACAAACTTGGGGCCCACAAAGCCCTAATGACTCCTCAGGGAGAACAGATACGAAGATGAGCTTCAGTTGTCGCCTGGCTAGTGAGGGAGCCCTGACGCCTCACTCAAGGCAGTGTCCCCATGCTGAGAACCTACCATTTTCAAGATGTAACCCACCCTAAGTCTCATCTTGTCTGTGTATCGTGGGCTCTCTCTGATGGATATCTAAGAAATCACAAGATATGTTCACAGGCATACCAGGCAAGACTCCTTTTATGTAGCCGCCCCCCCAGTGAAACCTGTGCCTTGGCCGAAAATGAGACACCTGTGTGACCACCACCTCACTCTCCCTGCAGAAAGAACGCAGTCCCACTTCATCCTTAAAATGGCCCAGCTCCAGATCAATGCAACTGGGAATTCTGGTCCTGCACAGAGACCAGACGGGCGGGCTGTAGTGCCAAATCAATGCAAGCTGCACCTCCTGGTTCCAGTAGTGGTGGCCCCCAACGTTGCCCCCAGACATTACCTTATCCAAGAGCTCTCTCGTTTCCTCAGTCAAAGGGTCATGGGAGAACATGCAGTCGTCACCATTGATGCAATTCCCAGTTGTGTGGTACAACTTACATGGAAAATCACGTTCATGGCAAATTAAGGAAAATGTTTCATCTCATGGAACCCACCCACAGAATCCAACCCCCTTTGCTCTGAGATGAGGAAAATGACGCCCAGAGAGGTGAAGTGACTTGCTGAGTGTCACACAGTAGGTTAGCAGAGACCCAGGACAACACCCCAATTCTCAAGATTCCTGCTCCAGAGGGCTTCCTGTGCCACATGCTGGCCCTGGGGCTGTGTCGTTGGAGCCTCACTCAACAAGTATAGGAAGTTCAATGATATTCCAAGGCTACACAGCTAGCTGGAGAAATCCCTGAAAGATAACAGGTAAGAGTACAGGCCAGTGCCTCAATTTATTGATATGCAGAATGGGAGGAGCAGACCCGTCACAGGACAGATGTGAGGACTAAATGAGAGGATGCACAGAAAGTTCTTGACACAGAGCTGGCACAGAGAGAGAGCAGTGAAGGTCAGCTATTACTACCAACAAGGAGAAAAGTTCTGTACCCCAAATCAGATCAGATGTGATGCCAAAGGATATCATGCATGTAGGGGCAGTTCTCAGCTCGGGCACAAAATCCAGTGATGTAAAACTTGCACAGTTCTCGCTTCTTCGGTAGCTCAATGTCATGACTGAAATTACAGTGATCTCCCTGGAAGAGAAGCAATGGATGGTACGGTGGTGGCCCTGTAAGCCTTGCTTACTCAGGTCTGCAAAGGGAAGAAGTACTGCCACTGCCAATGCGCAGAGGAGCCGATGACAGACACGGATCCCCTCAGGAAAGGGCATGCTCAGACACAGGGTCCCCCACTAAGTGTGTACTTCCGACAGTGCGTGCTCCTCTCCCTCAGGCTCCTCTCCCCCTCATACCCACTGCTTCCGTCTCCATTCCACTGCTGTTCACTGCTTCTTTCTAACTCTCCCTTCACTTCTTTTGCTTCTCTCTCTCACCTACTCACTATTTTTCACTGTTTGCTGCATGTATCCAGTTTCATGCTTCTTCTTAATGGAACCCCAATTTTGTTTGGGGAAGAATGGGTCCAGCTAAAAATTCTCCATTTCCCAGACTCCTTTGAAGTTCAGGCCAATGAAATGTAGGCAAAAGTCCCCAAATTTCCTTCTTAGTGCTTAGCTGTGATGCCTGGAGGCACAGCAGCCACTGTGTAATGAAGAGGACAAAAGTGACACACTCAAAGGTGGTGAAATAAAAGGTAGGAAGGAGCTTGGGTCCCTCTGAGTACCACTAATGCCCAGCACCCCCAGACTGTTCCAAGGGACAAACATTATGTGTTTAAGCCAGTGGTTTCCTATTATCTGCAGCCAAACACAATCTGAACAAAGTAACATCAGGTGAACTAAAGATAGAAACTGTTCTATACCTGTTCCCCTTACTCTTAGGAATGGCTACTCGTTTGCTTTGCTTATATGCATTACAGTTTCTGAAAATAATATGAATGGTGACTACAATAAGGAATATTTTATACATGCACATTTGTTTGAAATACACTTTTTTCTAAGACGTATACACAGTAGTGTTCCCTGGGTGCACATTTGCCAGCATCTGCCACTGCCATTGTATTTGAATAAAAAGCTGGCTGGATAAACTAACACTGGATTGCACTTGTTTCCTTAAGAACTCTGTGGTCATTGGTCTATCTTCTGGCATTATATTCTGCTGTGATACTCAAGCCTGGCCTGGTTTTTTCCCACCCTTTCTACCTGGATGTCTTAATAATCCCTTTCCCACATTAAAGTCCAGTGACATAACTAGAATGTTCTATTTTTGCATTAGCGTCAATCCTAGCAATACACGTGAGGTTATATGAATTGGTTGAAAATTTCAGCCAAAAAATCCTCCTAAAACCCAAAAAATCCCGATGTGTCATCCTGCTCTGGTTTCTCAGTCTCAGTGAACTGTCTTCCCAGGCATCTCCTGGCAGTAAGACAATCACTGCCACCCCCACCTGAGCACTGCACCCCTGTTGGCATGGCCTCCAGAACAATGCCAGAAACCAAGTGTTCTCCAGGGGATAGCTGCCCTGTCCTTGGCACCCCAGTACTCTAACTGGCCCCTTACCCACGTGCACCGCCCTTCCACGAAGTATTTGCAGATGACTTTGCCTTTCTTATCAGACTGCTGGTGGGGCTTGTCATGGTCACTCCTCCGGTAGCTTCCACCACCATCCTGAAGGGACACAGAGGATGTTTGCAAGGTGGAGCGAAAAGGGTGGGGGGGGCCTATGCAGGCCAGGGGGAGTCAGACTCTCAATGAGTAACAGAAGTTAGCTGGCAGGCAGGAATGAATGTTCCCCTCACAGAAGTGTCTTCACGTAACAAGAGTGACAGCCAGCAGGTTACACCCAACGTTGAGGCTGTGCAGGCTGAACACCGTGGAATGGAGTGCTGGCACTTAGACGGGGAATGCTCTGGCACTTGGAGCTGCTGGCCACTGAAGACTGAGCACCTCACACCTGTGCAGGAACACACCCACCTTCCAGAGGCAGTGGCATGCGCCTTCCTGAAAACGTTCCTGTACAAGTCATGGATGGTCACCTAGAACCTTCCAAACCTCAGAGACTCCTTACAGGTGACAGCAGGTGCTACAATAATACACTTTTAAAAACAGAGGGTCTCACTAGCAGCACATCCCTCAAGAGAGACAGATGATTAGTGCTGATCAGCCCTATGGAGAACAGCTGATGGGAGCAGGCGGCCAGGATCGGCCTCAAAGGACAGCTCATTACAGGAAAAGAAAAAAAATCCAAGGGGCTTTGGCTAACCACATAAATCAGAATGAAGAACTGACTCACCCCCATGTCCTCGTCATAGAAGTCTTCGTCATCATTCATTCCACCCTTGTTCATCCCTCCTCGGCTGCCACCTCGACCACGACCCCGGCCCATCCCTTTCCCTCGACCCCGGGAACCCCGACCACGGCCTCGACTTAACCCTGCAGAGGAGGAGAAACAGTATTCCCCTGTTGCCTCTCCCCAGGATGGGAATCCAGCAGCTGCCGGAAGGAGCCCCACCAATGCCTCCCCTCCTGGGCCCCTGCCTGCCCACCTCGTCCTCGGCCATCCTTGGACCGGCGGTACTGGTTCAGTTCCTTGGAATATTCATCATAATCCTCATCTCCCATTGGCTCCTCACTTTCTCCATACTGGAATTCCAGAAAGAAGGAAAGCATTATACAGGAACAATTAACACTGCCCCTAAATATACATTGCCTCCTTTTGTTTTTTCATTTACCCAGGACAACTCAGACTCGGAAGGGCAGATGAGTGCCCCAGGTCTCCCACCTGTGCCCGCTATCCCCCAGGCACTCTCACCCCCTGGGCAAATAATTAGGGCTTCTGTACACAATGGACAGCTGTTCAGCTGTGACAAAGATAACAAAGATAACAAAGAACTGGAGACTCATGCTGTGCAGGCATGGCCAGGCTCAGAGAGGGATGGAGCAGGGAGAGTGCAAGCCCTCCTGTGTGTAGGCAGTGGATAAATAAGCAAAGGCAAAAAATGTTTCTACATTTGCCCTCTTACAGCACTAAACTATGTTTTCTACCTTTATCTTGCAGCATCTACCTACCAGTTCAGCATTTTATTAAATATAATAATAACAATAATAATAATAAGGGAGAAATGTGGGATTCACATATATATCAAGTATAAAAATCAAACAAATATTCATATTTGACCTGATTGTTTATAGTTCATAATGCGTGATCAAAACCGAAAGTTTCTGTGATGACTGCCCTTGTACTGTTCACCATGTAAGAACTTATTCACTATGTAAGAACTTGTTCACCATGTAAAAACTTGTTTGTTATGCTTCAGAAGATTGGAGACTGTTGAGAATTAGGCTTGGGGTTGATTAATGATTGTGCATTGAGTCCCCTATACAGAATTTTATTGTTGTTAACAACCATATGATCAATAAATATGAGAGATGCCCTCTCAAAAAAAAAAAATAATAATAATAATAAGGGAGAAATGTGGGATTCACATATAAATCAACTAAAAATCAAACGAATAATCATAATTGACCTGATTGTTTATAGTTCATGATGCGTGATCAAAACCGAAAGTTTCTGTGATGACCGCCCTTGCACTGTGCACCATGTAAGAACTTATTCACTATGTAAGAACTTGTTCACCATGTAAAAACTTGTTTGTTATGCTTCAGAAGATTGGAGACTGTTGAGAATTAGGCTTGGGGTTGATTAATGATTGTGCATTGAATCCCCTATACAGAATTTTACTGTTGTTAACAACCATATGATCAATAAATATGAGAGACGCCCTCTCAAAAAATGGTTTCAATGGATAGTAACTTCTATGTTATGTGTATTTACCATAATATGTGTTATGTGTTTTAAAAAATTGAAAAAAATCAAGGAAAAAAATTAAGCCACACAGTGAATGCATACTTTAACAATATCCTTTAGTATTCCATACATGTTTGGTGGAGTTTATTCTTCTTGACACTTGGAGTAAATATTAACAAAACTTCATAAAAAACAAAATTTCACTTTGGAACCAAAAAAAAAAAGAATAAGGGAATAAATAGATACATGCATTAGACTACAATAAGTTATTTACCTATTTGTTGCAAATATCTTCTCTGGGTCTGCGGCTGGTCTTTTTTGATACTGTTAATAGTTATTTTTTTAAATAGTTTTATTACCTGTACTCTTCTGTATGTGTATTATTTTACAATAAAAACTTTTTAAAAAGAAAAAAAAAATGTTTCTCAAAAACACCAAAGAAATTTGTCTGCAGGGACAGGAACTGAGTTGCTGGGGACAGCAGCAGGAGGAAGATGTTTTTCATAGCTCACCCTTTGGTACCTTTTTAATTCTGAACAATATGGAGGTTTTCTCTATTCCAAATAACAAGTGAACATTAACCACAGAAACCTGCCAAATGCTTTCTTTCCACCTTCGTCTTACAGGCTTCCCCCAGTAGCACTTGTGGCCCGGAGCCCACCAGCCCCCGGCCACCCCCAACCCAACCCAGGCTGAAGAAAACCTTACTTCCATCTCCTCTTCATAGAAGTCCTCTTCATCCTCTGGGTGGTCTCCCACCGAGCCTCTGCCCCTTCCTCGGCTTCCCCTGCCCATGCCTCGGCCTCGAGACCCTCGGCTTCCTCGGCCCCGGTAGCCCCTGCCACGGCCTCGGCTGCCTACACAGTGAATCAGACAGTAAGCATCCCAAACAGAAGCCAATCCCACTGAGACAGAAGTCAAGCCATCTTTTGCTCCTGAGGTCAATCATTCCATTTTCCTCTTCCTCCAAGAAGCCTTCCCAGTTGCTCCCATCAGATTAACCATCACCCTCATCCCCTCAATGGGGGTGCCTCAGCATCCTGGATGCACACTTGCTCCAGGACTCACTACACTGCCTCCTGGGTATTTGTTCACTGAAAGCTGCACTCACTGCCCAAACTAAGGTGGCAAGCAGCTGCATGCACACTGAATGCCTGAAATGCAGCTGACCAAACTGAGATGCTGGGAGTATAAAAGCACATACTGGATTTCAAACTTAGTTTAAAAAAAAAAAAAAAGACTATAAAATATCACATCTACTCTGAGTTGAAATCTTAAATGTATTAGGTTAATAAAACATGTTAAAATTAATTTCATCCATTTCCTTTTACTTTGTTAATATGACTACTAGCAAATTTGAAATTATAAGGTGTAGGCCTGGGAGAAGGGGAGGAAAAAATTAAATTTAATTTAAACATAAATAAATAAATTACAAGGTGGCTTGCACTGTATTTCTATTGGACAGCTCTAATCTAGAATCTCCCCAAAGACTACTGCAAGACTGCTGAAAGAATGAATGAGTGAAGGACCACCAAACAATGAGCTGGGCCTCATGGAAGATTTAAGAACCACTGAGCTAGAAGATTCTAAAAGCCCTCTTAGGCTTGGAAGTCTCACGGGCAGGTGATGGTTCTAAGAGGCCAGGCTGGGTCCCTGGTGCTCTGCCCTCCCCCCAACATCCTCCTAACTGCCACAGGTTCAAGGTTCAGAGGTGTGGCAGCCCAAGGCTGCAGTTACACCTCATCAGGTGAGGAGAGGGAGGTGGCTACTGAGGACTGGGGCAGCCAGCTGGCAGCTGCCCTGGCCCAGGTGTGAGAGAAGCTGTCCTGTCTCTCTTTTTGCACCTACTGAGGTGAATTAAAAAAACAGCCCTTTAGCCTCACTGGCCTTCTCCCTGCCTCCAGGCAGCCTGGCTCCTCACCCACAGCCTCGGCACTGGGTCCTCCGCTCCCATGGCCAATTCTAGGCCTGAGCTTGCCTGTGTGCTCCCTGCTCTTCTGAACTCAGCTCAGCCCTAAATGCCTGTGTCTCCAATCCTGGACCTGAGGCTCTGAGAATCAGCCAACCTGGCCAGTCTGGCTCTGCACCACACCCTAGACTCCAGCACCGGGTCTGCCTTCAATGCCCTGGAAACTGCGGGGTCTCACCTCGGCCCCGGCTGCTGCCCTCCTTGGCACGCCGGTACTGGTTGAGCTCCTTGGTGAAGTCATCATAGTCCTCCTTGCCCGCATCCTCCTCCTCATCACCCTCGTACTCCCCGTACTGCTCGTCCTCATAGCCTTCGTACATGCCGTAGCCTTTGCTGTCCATCTTGGAGTAGGACTTCTTGGGCAGGGGGGTGGTGTGCGACGGGGTGTACTGCTGGTGGGACTGATGGGGAGGGAAGGGTGAGTCGGCCTGGGTCCAGACCACCAAGAACCCCACTGTTCCCTGAACACACACATCTCTCTGGGTGTCTCCGTCGTCCCTGCAGTGAGACACCAGGCCCCAGCCACTTGAGGACTGATTCCCACCTGAGTGACATCTGGGCGGTGGGTCCAGATGTTTTTCTTCGGAAAGAGCCATAGCTTGGAAGCAGATTAAGAAACACAGACCCCCACAATCCCCAAAGAACTGGGGAGGGAAGAGAAGGTGGGTATTTCCCAGGCAAATAAAAGTAATCTCATTTGGGGAGGGGGCCTGGTAAGTGAGAGTGGTGCTATTTGGTCAAAATTTTCCTGGAGGCTTGGCAATCAAACTAGGAAGTCATTTTAAAGGATGCTTTACAAAGTGTGCTAGCACCGAAAGACACTGGATGCAGTTAAATACACACACACACACACACACACACACACACAGAGAAGCCACCAAGATGTACGTGAATGGATAAACAGTGGTACGTACAATGGAATAGTCAGCACTTAAAAGAAATGAGCTATGAAAGAATCAAAGAGGGAGAGGATTAAAGATGGCGGTGTGAGAGATGAGACAGAGGCTTCCTCCTAAAACCACATATGATATGAAAATATAATTAATACAACTAATCCTGAGAGAGCAATAGGAAAGAGGACGGCGCCAGACTGCATACACCTGGAGAAAAGAGCAGACCTCACAGAACAGGGTACCGTACCAGAGCTGTGGCCCAGCGGGACCCAAGCCCTTCCCCCACCCCAGCTCACCAGCAGGAGGAAGAGAAACTGAGCAGGGAGGGAGTGGAGGCCTGGGACTGCTGAATACTAACTCCAGAGACCTGCTCTGGGAGCACAAACCTACATTTCATGGTGCTTTCATGATACTCTCATGATTATGGGGTTGAAAAGCTAAGACAGGCAGAACTCCTGGAGAGACTGAGATTCCAGCCACTTGTGGAAAGCAGGGATCCATATCCGGCTGCTCTGGGACAAAACCTTATACCTGTGTGCTCAGCCCACTGGTTCAGGCACAGCAGCCAGGTGGTGGGGAACAGCTCTTTCCTCCCCGCAGGCACCAATCCCACTCCCCTGCAACCCCCGACATTGCTTCAGGGGCTGAGCCCCTCCAGAGAGTAGAGCTTCTGGACACTAGAGGGCACCATACACAAATATGAAACGCCAAAGGAACCTGCTACACAGGAAAATTAATATAACCCCTGAGAAAGATGACAGGGACCTCATGACTCTTCCTGAAAGGGAGTTCAAAATAAAAATCATTAACATGCTAATGGAGTTATGGAAAGATATTCAAGAACTCAGGAATGAATTCCGGTCAGAGTTCCAATCATTGAAGAGCACAATGGAGGGTATTAAAAGCAGATTGGATACAGTGGAGGAGACGATAAATGAAATAGAAACTAGAGAAGAGAAATACAAAGAAGCTGAGGCATAGAGAAAAAAAGGGATCTCTAAGAATGAAAGAATATTGACAGAATGGTGTGACCCATCCAAACGGAACAATATTCGCATTACAGGGATACCAGAAGAAGAAGAGAGAGAGAGAGAGAGGGATAGAAAGTGTCTTTGAGGAGGTACTTGCTGAAAATTTCCCCAATCTGGGGAAGGAGATAGTCTCTCAGACCATGGAGATCCACAGATCTCCCAACACAAGCGACCCAAGAAAGACAACACCATGACATATAGTAATTAAAATGGCAAAGACCAAGGACAAGGACAGACTGCTAAAAGCAGCCAGAGAGAGAAATAAGACCACATACAAAGGAAAGCCCATCAGGATAACATTAGACTCCTCAGCAGAAACCTTACAGGCCAGAAGGGAGTGGCATGATGTATTTAATGCCACGAAGCAGAAGGGCCTCGAACCAAGATTACTTTATCCAACAAGATTATTATTTAAATTTGAAAGAGGGATTAAACAATTTCCACATAAGCAAAAGCTGAGAATTTACCTCCCACAAACCATCTCTACAGTCTATTTTGGAGGGACTGCTATAGATGGAAGTGTTCCTAAGGTTTAATAGCTGTCACCAGAGGTAATAAAACCACAGTAAAGAAAGTAGAAGTTAATTACTAAGCAAATGCAAAATTAAATTAAGTATCCCCAAAGTCAATCAAGGGATAGACAAAGAGTGCAGAATATGATACCTAATATATAAAGAATGGAGGAGGAAGAAAAAGGAGGAGAAAAAGAAAAGAACCCTTAGATTGTGTTTGTAATAGCGTATTAAGTGAGTTAAGTTAGACTCTTAGATAGTAAAGAAGTTAATCTTGAATCTTTGGTAACCACGAACCTAAAGCCTACAATGGCAGTAAGTACATACCTATAGATAATTACCCTAAATGTAAATGGACTGAATGCACCATTCAGTGACCAAAAAAGTCACTGAGTGGATAAAAAACAATACCCATGTATATGCTGCCTACAAGAGATTCACTTTAAACCCAAAGACATACACAGACTAAAAGTGAAGGGATGGAGAAAGATATTTCATGCAACTAATAGAGAGAAAAAAGCAGGAGTTGCAGTACTTGTATCAGACAAAAGAGACTTCAAAACAAAGAAAGTCACAAGACACAAAGAAGGACATTACATAATGATGAAGGGGTCAATCCAACAAGAAGATATAACCATTATAAATATCTATGCTCCCAACAAAGGAGCACCTATATATGTGAAACAAATACTAACTGAATTAAAAGGGGAAATAGAATGCAATGCATTCATTCTAGGAGACTTCAACACTCAACTCACTCTCAAGGACACATCAACCAGACAGAAAATAAGTAAGGACACAGAGGCACTGAACAACACATTAGAACAGATGGACCTAACAGACATCAACAGAACTCTACACCCAAAAGCAGCAGAATACACATTCTTCTCAAGTGCACATGAAACATTTTCAAGAGTAGATCATATAATTTCACTCATCTGTGGAGTATAAGAACAAAGAAAAAACTGAAAGAACAAAAGAGCAGCAGACTCACAGAACCCAAGAATGGACTAACAGTTACCAAAGGGAAAGGGACTGGGGAGGATGGGTGGGAAGGGAGGGATAAGAGGTGGGGGGAGAAAGGGGGCATTACAATTAGCATGTATAATGTGGGGGGGGCACGGGGAGGGCTGTGCAACACAGAGAAAACAAGTAGTAATTCTACAGCATTTTACTACGCTGATGGACAGTGACTATAATGGGGTTTGTCGGGGGGACTTGGTGATGAGGGTAGTCTAGTAAACATCATGTCTCTCATGTAATTGTAGACTAATGATACCAAAATAAAAAAAAGATCAAGTTAGGAGGGAGTATACAGAAATAAAACAATTTCTGGAAGGACTTAAGAGTAGACTGGATGAGGTGCAAGAGGCCGTTAATGGAACAGAAATCAGAGAACAGGAACACAGAGAAGCTGAGGCAGAGAGAGATAAAAGGATCTCGAGGAATCAAAGAATACTAAGAGAACTGTGTGACCAATCCAAAAGGAACAATATTCGCATTATAGGGGTACCAGAAGAAGAAGAGAGAAAAGGGGGTAGAAAGTGTATTTGAAGAAATAATTGCTGAAAACTTCCCCAAACTGTGGGAGGAAATAGTCTCTCAGACCATGGAAGCCCACAGAACTCCCAACACAAGGGACCCAAGGAGGACAAAATCAAGACACATAATAATTAAAATGGCAAGGATCAAGGACAAGGACAGAGTATTAAAGGCAGCCAGAGAGAGAAAAAAGGTCACCTATAAAGGAAAACCCATCAGGCTATCACAGTTTTTTCATGTGAAAGCTTCATAAGAGTGTATATCAATCATACCTTTAAAAAAAAAAGAAATGAGCTATGAAGCTTTGAAAAAACGGAAGAACCATCAACGTATATTGCTAACAGAAAGAAGCCAATCTGAAAAGGCCACCTACTGTATGGGTCCAAACATATGACATTCTAGAAAAGGCAAATACTAGAGAGACAGTAAAAAGTAGAAAGATTTGTGAGCTAGGGGCTCAGTGGGGAGGGAGGAATGAATAGGTAGAGGATAGGAGATTTTTAGGGAATTGAAATTATTTCCTATGATAGTATATGATGAATACATAGCATTACACATTTGTCAAACCCAAAATTTTAACTGTAAAACTCAAAGGGAGACCTAATGTAAACTATGGACTCTAATTAATAATTATGTATCAACACTGGCTCATCCATTACAGCAAATGTACCACACTAATTCAAAATACGATAAGGGAATCTGCATGGGGTGGGTCAGGAACTATCCTATCTGCTCAATTTTCTATAACCCTAAAACTGCTGTAAAAAATAAAATCTAAAAAAATCCACACTTACAATAAAAATGAGAAAATACAAAACGCAGATGGGCACTGCTGCGCTAGCAGATCTTCAAGTGCCTTGATCCCATAGCTCCCAGTGACGCTCATGGAGCTCCCTCCATGCCCTGCCTCCTGCAGGTTTAAAGTCTGACTCTATGCTAACAGATCAATGTCAACTATAATGTTACAATAAATTATCCATTAGGATGGATGATGCTGAGTCACAGGCTACCTGGGACACCTTTAAGAGCTACCAGCTTTAAAAATAATTTTTTATCAAAACTGGGAAACATCTTGGGTTTTTTTTGGTTTTTTTTACCAGTTTTGGTCGGGGAAAAGCAGTATACAAACAACACAAATAACTTAAATGTATGTTTAAGCTCAGTGATACAATAGGATGAGTATTTAATTTCTGGCTCGACGACATTTGAGGTAATTTACTCCTATAACCATTTCATTCTCTTGCCAATTTTCCACAAAAAGTAATTTCTGAACAATGGAAAGCAGTCAGTTATGACAGTGACAAATTGGCATCTTTCTCAGTACAGTGAATGTACTGAGTCCCACCAAGGCCATGGGAAGAGGTGGCACAGGGAAGTCTTAGGAGCATGGCTAACGAAGACAGGCCACTAACTAACTGAGTCCAAACCCCAGCTACCTGCACTCAGAGCTGTGCAGCCTGGCGGAGGTTTTCTGAATCTGTTTCTATGTCTGTAAAATGGGGATAAAACAATAACCTAATCTTGCAGGATTAAAATCCATGTGAAGTGCCACGTAGAACATCCAGTACAGAGCAAGTGCTCAGTGAGCAAGGCAGCATCACTGCCCAGCGCGCACCACCCAGCCCTGGAGGGCCCCCGAGCAGTGGTCACTCACCGGTGCATACGGGGGGCTGTACTCTCTGTACTTGCGGTGCCCCTTCTCGCTGGGGCTAAAATCGGAGTCATCTGAGAAGTCAGAAAAGTCATCGCTGGAAGAAGCATGGCGCTGCAATGAGAGGAAGTGGACTTAGCGATTCTGCTGCAGGCAGGCCACTGGGCAGTCAGCCCCGGGATGAACATCGCTGGGATGTGCCAGAAGGGCTCTGTGCTCAAGGTGAAACAACTCACCTGCGGGTATTTGGTAGCAATGGAGCAGGAGTGACCAACTCTTTTACAAGAGGTCTTTAGCCAGTTTGGGGAAGGGAAAGACCACACTGAAGAGTGCCCTCTGGCCTGACAAGCTTGTCCCCGGGGTTCCGGGGCGCCCGGATGCACCTCCCACACTTACTTTGTGCTTGGATTTCCTTCTCTTCTTCGACCTCCTCTTCTCCTTCTCCCGCTCTTTCTTCCGTTTCCGCTTCAGCCTCCGGTGGGGCTTCTCCTCGTCCGAATCGCTGTGGTGCTTCTCCCCCTTTTCCTTCCGGCTCCTCTCGGGTCCTCCGGAGGTGTCCTGGGCCTCCTCGGCCCCGTCATCTTCCAGTTCACCTTCCTCCAACTCACCATCTTCCCTACAAACCAACCCCAAAGCCGACATGAATACAGGGCTCGAGGAGAAGCCCACAGGTTCTGGCCGGTCGAGGCTGATGGAGCGGAGGGGGGGCCCACCTGCTGTGAGAAGGAGCAGAAACCCCTGCAAGGGCCCGGGGAGCACTGGGGGCTGTGCCCCTTGTCCCATCCCCCCCCAGGGACTGTGCCTGCTCCCGTCCAACCTGGCAAGGACCAACATCACTGGATTTTAAAGGGAGTGTCACGAATACCAGGACAAATCTAAGTCCACATTTCCCAGTGTTCTTCAGGACTTGAGTTCGAAGAAGAAAAGTGATGGCTTGTGGTCAAGTGAGTTGAGAAATCCCCATCTTGGGGATTCCCAATGCTTCAAGCTATAACACAAGTTTCCAGAAGGCCTATAGTCAAGAGCCTGTACAACTCTACTTAAGAGCATCTCTGAAGCTCACTTGACCACAGAAGCTTCTCTCAGGGAACACGAACTAGCATCCCTCCCAGACGGCGGTTGAGTGCAGTGACCCGGGGTCACCCGCTCCACCCAAGCCCATGAAGTGTCCTGTGAGCTGAGGGTGGTGGTAGCTATGGACAGAGGAGAGAGGGACATGGTTCTGAATCAGGGGTGGCCCACAGATCCCTGGGCCCTATCCACAGGCAGGTGTGGACTGCAGCCTGAGGAGGTTGAGTGTACTTTACAAAAGCCCTCAAAAGTGATTAAGAGCCACCAGTAAACAGTCTCCTGTCCCCAGCTTTCAAAGTCTGACCCACCCTGTTTGCTGCACGGCTCTGGGCTAGGGGGAGATTGAGCAGCTTGAGAAAGGGCAAGGGTCAGGGGGAAGGGTTGCAGGCCCCAGACCCTTCCTGAGGTCCTCACACAATGCTGTCAGAGTGCCCGCAGGAGCGGTCACTGACCCCCGCTGCTGACCCCCTTGCCTCCTGACTTGCCTCTCCTCTGGGGATCCCTTCTGGCTCCCCATCCTACAGATATCTGTTAACTCCCCAACGTCAACCCAATCCCCAGTACTCTAAAAAATAGAAGCCCTCTCCAAACATGATAGATGCTGCCAACAGGACATTCTAAACATCTAAGTACCTAGGGGGTGGGGTAGTGTGGGGGGGAGGACAAATAGGGTTAGGAAGGAAGTAGCTGGGAAAAGAATCCAAATCCAAATTTGGAGCCAAACCCACAGACACAGTTCTCACAAGTACAGGAGATGGTTAAAAAAATAAAAATTTCAAATTTAAAAAAAGCTTTCAAAGTTCCTCATGCACAACCATGGAAAAGCATTTGTGAGAGCATTAAAAACTCCTCTTCAAGTAACTTAAACCCAAACTGGGAAAGAAGAGAATGTAATGAACCCAGGACTCAGAAAGCTAACCCCAGAGGGAACTAATCTTGGCAGGAAAGGCCTGGGCTGTGCAGACAGGGCTGGGCTGAGTGTGGGCACAGGCCCGGCTGGCGAGCCACCTTGGAGCCCCAACAGGTTCTAGTGGGCTCCATGAGAAACAGCAGGCCCACGTTTTTTCCCAGACTCCTTCCCAGGCCTCTCGCTTCAACCACCCCCTTAGTCCCACTCCCTCTGTCCACCCCCCACTACTTTCCAAACATCAAAGGAGACCTGCAAGAACGGCCTCTCTCCTAACTCTCATTCCCATCTCAACAGGGTTGGGTCAACTTAAATCCAAGTGGCCCAGCCCCCGGATAACCCAGCAGAGGTCAAGGGCAGCTCTCACATACACAAGCACGACACAAAACTCTTCCTGATGTTTCAAAGGAAACAAGACAGAGAGGTGACCCATGAGCACCTCATGTTGTTTCCCTGTAAACTACCAGGTTGTCCTGGGCCAGCCCTGCAGGAGCTGCCAAGGACACTTTGGAGGTGGCATTCCTGACAAATGACACACCTTCCGGCTTGGGTGTGGCCCAGAGAATAAGGCGAGGAGCAAAGCCCTCGTGGGATGAGGCCACTCTGCTGCAACAGCCTCACCCACAGTGAGTACCACCTGACTGGGAAAACTGGTTTCAGTGGGCTGGCCAACCCAGGGGAGAAGCTGTTACTCAGTGGCATGGCACACTTCCTGCTGGCAGAGTGTGGAGACACTGAGAGCGTGGTTACTGTAGCAAACAGGACGTGCGTCCCTGTTGGGAACACTGTGGGAGGGCCTGGCTGCCAAACGGCAGGAGAAATACAGGGAGAAGCAGACAGACACAGTGGATCTGGGGAAGGCCCAGACAAACAGGACAGGGAGAGGCTGGTATTCCATGAAGAAAAGCTAAAAAGAACATCATTCTTGACATTTTAGTCTGAAAGGAAAAAGCTAAGGACATGGTGTACGTACGGTACCTAGACTCCCAGGGCAGGGATGGAGGGAAAGCGGGAAGACAGGAACTGCTTAGACTCCTAGAGTCCAGTGAAAGAAGATAAAGTCCAAGAGCTGGAATAATCAAAGACCGTCCTGGGGCCAGGAGAAGCCTGTCAGAGCAGAAGGGACAGTGGGACACCATCAACTCTCTCATTTCAGATCAGAGGAATTTAAAGAGAGACTAGGTGAAGGGACTTGTCAAGGTCAGACAGCCAGTGGATGACATGGAAAAAGCCAGAAACTGACTCATTTCCCCAAGGCTATCAGTAAGGACAGAAAGGGAAGGGGGAGACCACTCTTCAACTGCCTATACTTGATGCCACAAACATTTCTGAGCATCTTCCCTGTGTGGGGTCCTGTTCTGTATTGTCCCAGTAGCAACAATTCAAATTACAAGAAACGTAGTCCACAAGGAGCCTCCACGATGCAGGGCTGGGGCAGCTGAGCCAGAGCTGGTTCCTCAGCTCCATCTGCTCCTGGGCAAAGACACCACAGCACAGCAGGCAAAGGTCTTTGCCCAGGGTCAGCTGAGGCTTCCATCCCTGACCCAATGCCATAAGCCAGCTTGGATGCATGTGTAGGCGGCCCTACATCCAAGGCCCGGAGGTGCCATCCAAGCAAGTCCATCTGACCATCTTCCAGAATGATTCTATAACGTCTTCTCATTCCAAAGGACTTGTCCAGGAGGCAAACACAGCATTCAAATCCATCCTACAAAGAGTCTCTGCATTCTATGAACAACCCCAGGCATTTCTAAGCTCAGTGAGAATCTACTGTATAACTTTTTACAAACAGATAGTGAATACTTCAAACTTTGGTTTCTTAGAGGATAAAATAAATAGAATACAGGATAAAAAAAGTTGCTGGTGATTCATGAAAGGGGATGGATCATGGGGAGGGGGCACCAGGACAGTAACACTCAATTGACCACTCTTGTGTTCTCTGCGCCACCTGGCCCTGCTGCACTCTCAAACTCCTTCGTGCCCTGGGCTGGCTAACCTCCATTCACCTTCGGGGATGCCCTCTGTCCTTATATAGGAGATTTACAGCTAAATGCCTGTATGAATACAGGGTCTCTTTTCCTCAGACTCTGTTCAACAGAGGAAAAACAGAAAGAAAATCAAACCAACTGGGACAGAAATCCTGTAGGCCACCGACACGACGGCACAAAGGCAGTCTCCACAAAACAGCAGCCAGATTTAAGCGGCACCACTAACAGACTGCCAGCAAAATCCATGTCAGAGTGGGATTAAACATCGAGGGAGCACGCTTAATAAGCTGTGACATAATCCCCCAAGAAAAGTGGGGGAAGCCCCACGGCACTAATCATTTCAATCTAGCCCTGCCAAACCCTCTTGAGACAAGCATACAGGAGAAACCCTGCAGCAGCAGCCTGGGCAGACTGCTTCATTCCCCGAGCCTGGACTGGCAATGCTGCAGGATGGCTACACCGGCGTGAGCCTGACAGACCATCAGGGACAGGAAACCAACCATGCTGGGGGACCGACTTGGAACCGTTGTACAAGAGGAAATGGGAGAGGCCTATGCCTTCCTGAGGGTCAGGTCTCCCTTGTGCCTCCTGGACTAAGCCTCCAGGCATGTAAGTTTCCATTCGCAGAGCTGTTGATAGCCAGCTCCTCCTCTTGGGTCAAAGGCTAGATCTGGATGCTCATTCTAAGGAGTGCCTATTCAGCCACCTCCACAGGACACAGAAACATGCTGAGTTCATCACAGATCACGGGCTTGGCAAAAACAGTACTTGGTAAAGCAATATCATGTTTCAAAGTAGGCTGGCTCCTCTCACCAGCCTACAGATCTGGGCACCAGGCTTCATTCTACAGACCACATCATTCAACCAGCTCTGCTTCTTCCCTATCATGTGCTCTGGGTAATGTTAACCTTGGTTTTCTCATCCATGGAATGGGATAACCATACCTACCTCATGGGGCTGTGTTGGTTAAAGAAGATAAAGTGGATGAAGCCCTTGACCTGGGGGACAGGCACAAAGTAAGTCCCAAAGAGTAGCTATTGGCTTTAAGAACCAAGTCCTCTCCGTGATAACCCTCAACTAGCTGAAACGCTTACTGGGAAACGTTTTCTGTGGAGGAGCCATAGCCAACTCCCCCTGGGGACCACTGCTAACTGCTGGCCACCAAGTTGCCGCTGCATGTGGTCCGACCATGCTTGCACTTCCCTCTCCCAAAAAATCCTGTGGACAAAACTGACAACTCGGCATCTCCCCTCCCTCAGCTCTCACCTAGGTGGTATCAGAAAGTAACTAACCAAGTGGCTGACAGGAGGGAAAGGCTGACAGGAGGGAGAGCTGGCCCCAAGAAGGGACAAATGCTCTTTACAGAAACGAAGCTTGGCACCACAGAAAGTCTCTGAACAGGAGCACCAGATGGAAGCTGAAAGGGGCCTGGGTTTGTGGACCTACCTTTTTTCAGGAGAAAAAAAAAAGAGGAGGGGGGCAAAAAACAAAAATGATGGAAACTCATCAACAGTAGTTGTTACCTGAAGATCATGAAAGTCCTTGACAAGAGGCAGCTAGATTAATGTGAAGGTCAGGGTCATGATCATTAGCTGCCCGAACTCTCAGCAAATTGCCTGGGTAGGCTCTGAATGACCCATTAAATAGGGT